GTCTTTAGCTCACAGTTGGCTCGAGTAAATCTAAGTTCTAGCAGGAGCTGGTTCCAGCAGCAGGCAGCAAAATGACTAAACACTATTATATCTTGTCTGGTCTGAAGTCTGAGCTTCACTAACTGACAATTTACCTGAATCTTTAGCTGCTACTTCAAGTGTCCGGTGTTTGGTGCCGAGCAAGTTGTGTGCAGTTGCCTTCTAGAGATTTATCCCTAAAAACAGCTGCCTCCTGCAGCTGGAATGCACTCCGACAGCAGTATTAATGGACCAAAGCAGTTGATTTATGGAGCAACCGACTAAAGAATGAGCTGAAATTTACTATAAAGATCTGTAAAACTGAACTAAGCTACAAATTCAAGTTAAAAAAAAATTCCCTGTAGGCTCATCGCTAGTAGCAACCTCTGTCACATTGTTGGCGGTTATGAAGGCTTTGCTACTGGATCCATTGTGGGCCTTGTTCAAGTGAGTAATATTATCTCTTCTGTGTCATACTGTAAAATTCATCTTTACCCAGACAATACTGTTTTATATTGCTGATTTTGTTCAATTACAGAATCTAAAATGCTCCCTTTGATGCCCTGCAAGAAGCACAATCTTACATTAGATCACAATAAAATGACAGAAGTGATTCTGTTTTCAAGATTACAAGGTATACAGTATTACATGATGAGAAATTTGTATTTAAATAACCCATACAAGTCTATGAACTGTGGCTGAAACTTTGTGTACATCTGTCCATCCATCCATCCATCCATTATCTATACACCGCTTAATCCTCACTAGGGTCATGGGGGGCTGGAGTCTATCCCAGCTGACTTAGGGTGAAGGCAGTGGACACCCTGGACAGGTCACCAGTCTATCACAGGGCTACACTTAGAGACAGACAACCAAGCACACTCACATTCACACCTACGGACAATTTAGAATCACCAATTAACCTCAACATGTTTTTGGACTGTGTGGGAGGAAGCCGGAGAACCCGGAGAGAACCCACGCTGCACGGGGAGAACATGCAAACTCCACGCAGAAAGATCCCGGGTGTCCTCACGAACCGCCGACCTTCTTCTAGCTGCAAGGCGACAGTACTAACCACCTATCCACCTTGCACTTTGTGCACAGCAACAAATAAAACTGTAGAACTTAGACGATGATTACAACAATCTCTTTTGCATTGTGTAATATTCAGTTGGCTGCCATTCCTTGTCAAATCATCTGATTGCCATCTTGCATCTCAGCCTTACTGATTTGGCAATGCTGCCTAAAAATAAACACTTTTAGCCCCTCTGTGACTTCTGCTTGTGAGTGTTTTCACTGAACCTGTACATTGTCTTCTATTTTATTCCTGCATTAACTGTCAGCATGGCTTTGCTGCAACAGAGCGCACATGCTCGTCTAACTCTAAAATAAATAACATAAATAAAACATTATCACATTGCAGTTTGACACATTTTTCTCATCAGGTATTGGTTGTAGGTGCGTAATTTGCGTCACAAGCATCAACCCTGACGTGTCACCGAGCAGCAAACTCCCTCAGCACCTCCGAGGATGTTATTTCTGTAGCTGAGTCTGACCTCTTATCTTCCTGAGGAAAAGAAATATTTTTACAGGAAGAAATACAGATTAAAGATTTCCTCACATCATTTCCACCGACGGTGCTTTGTTCACTCAGAGTCTGTCACGTGAACGGTTCATATTTTTGCAATCTTTTTCCTGTCTCTGTGTATGATCGATGTCAGAATGTAAGTTATTTTCCATGTGGCGTGGCGTAGTGATTCAGTGCATTGCGCAGGAATAGATAAACTGTTTATACGTCTATGTTTGCACAACTTTCAGTGTTTATGAATGAGACTCAGAGGTGTAAAAGCTGATCATCTAGCATCTCGTGTCTATCAACCTAATCTGGAATGAAGAGGGAGGAATGTGACCGAGCAGTTGGGTGAAACTCCATAGCTCTCCAGGGAACCTTATCCGAGTTTATCTATCATACGCCTTGTCATCACAACACTACTTCTTAATGGACCCGAGCTGATACAGCAGTTAGCCCGGTGTAACCTACACGCTGTTTCCTCAGAGGGGCAACAAGGAAAACTCACACTGCAAACAAGCAGAGCAGCACGAGGCCAGCCGAGAAGAAACAGGCCTCTGAGATGCTCTCGAACCGAGATGAAGGCCCCTCATTCAGAAACAGACAAGCAACAATGCATTATATTCACATTGGAGCCGAGCCCGGAGACTTCCACTGTGAATATCGCTTTTCAACATTAACCTCTCAGTGGCGTAGCAGCTCTATTAATAACAATCTTGGTTACTGCTGGATTTTTATCGACAAGGGAGACTTGGGAGTGCGGTTGCCCGGGTCCTGATCCCGTTTATTCCCACAGGTTGCCTGAAAAAATATTGCAATCAACAGTAAAGTCAGATTTTCCTGCAAGTCAGTGGTAGAGCTTTAGTGCGACAGGAGGAGAGGCTGAAACTAAGAGGACAATATATTTAAAGAAGGTGAAGACGGAGTAAAAAACAAAAACAAAAAAGTACTTCATTATCCTGTGTTTGATATGAAGTAAATTTAAAGGCCTAAACTAAGTGGAAACTATGCTATAAGCACTTCAAAATGAAACACATTAAGAGTTATTAGGTGTGCTAAGTACCTCAGTAGTGTGTTTACTGAAACGTTTCAGAGAACGAAATGCTTTCTGTCTTTTATTGGCAGAAACAAAAGCAGTAAATCAGATGTTGTGTAAGTTGTGAACCACTTAAAGTAGCAATCTGTTATTTTATAAGAGACTCATGAAATAACTATCACTTAAAATGAAGAATTGCTCTTAAATGAATCAGGGGGAGAAAAGGAGTCTGATACAAGTCCAGGAAGTATTATTCACAGTGACTTCATTAAGCAGGAATGGTGTAGAATGAGGATTACTCCAACAATAGAGACTCTGATAGAGACACGCAGCAGCATAATCTCATCTGGAACAGTCCAAACGTGCGTCTGTTCCAATATTTATTTCCACCTTCAAGCTCTTTGCAGAACCTGATCAATCACTTGAAGTCATGAAGTCATGGCTGGCACAAAGTCACATTAACACTGAAATTCATCGATGAGAAATAAGGAAAATGTTATTCTTAACTTTAGAAAAGCTCGATTATAATTTCTCTTCAAGGTAGTCGTTTTTCTCAATCAGCAGTTTTTCAACACTTTTCGTGAAATAAGAAGACCTTAAAGTAATCTGACAAAATGGGAATTACAACATCTGCTATAGCGTGAGCAAAGGTTCGTTTATCACCTTTTTGTGGTTCTTATCACAACGCCCACAGGTTTCAAAAGCTCCACTTAATCACACAAACAAATAATTCCTCCCACTATGTCTGCACTGTCAGGGTGATAAACGTACAGATCTAATCAGAAGCTATCCCATGCTATCCAGATGTCAGTCAGTGTCTTGGTTCTGTCCACATTGCCCTGAAAATGAACTTTCTGCAATTTTCCTTTAATCAGGTGACACCACTTCATGTTTTGTTGCTTTGACTGAAAAGTCTGAACAACTATTGGATGAATTGTGGCTGATCCAGATGTTCATGTTGCTAACAGGATGAACTCTCATCACTTGGCTGATCCCTTCATCTGGCACTATTATCATGACCAAAGTGTATATACACTTTAATAAAATACTGGTGTATGAGGTATGTTACATGCCACACTATGATGGTAAAGATGGCAAGACATTAACTTAACATTAGTGTGCACGTTAGCAACATCATAGGCTGTGTCTTCAATGATTCCTTCATTCATTCCTTCAATACTTTCTATATAATAGACACATTCCACTGAGGGATTGTGTTAGCAGATAGTGGCGTTGATACCAGACACCACTTTTTCATTCCCTTGTTATTAGAGAATGAAAGAAAAAAAAACTATAAATACAAAATATAAATGTGGAATGGGGCTGGCGCAGTGGTTAGCACTGTTGCCTCGCAGCAAGAAGGTCGTCGGTTCATGTCCTGGTGAGGACACCCAGGATCTTTCTGCGTGGAGTTTGCATGTTCTCCCCGTGCAGCGTGGGTTCTCTCTGGGTTCTCCGGCTTCCTCCCACACAGTCCAAAAACATGTTGAGGTTAATTGGTGATTCTAAATTGTCCGTAGGTGTGAATGTGAGTGTGCTTGGTTGTCTGTCTCTAAGTGTAGCCCTGTGATAGACTGGTGACCTTCGACCTAAGTCAGCTGGGATAGACCCCAGCCCCTCATGAGCCTAATGAGGATTAAGCGGTGTATAGATAATGGATGGATTTAGAGTCAGTGTGAGCATGTTGGCATGCTAAGTTAGAATACAGCAAGAAAGTATAGCCACCCTGAAATGCTAAAGACTCTGGACAATTTTGTGCTGTCTTAACTTGAGGACAGTGAATGTGGAGTGGCAGACCGGGGTGATGGTTCCCATGTTCATAAAGGGGCACCAGAGGGCATCTTTCAATTATCAGGGTATCACACTGCTCATCCTCCCTGAGGAAGTTTCATTCGAGTGCTGGAAAAAAAAGACTCCAAGTGCCAGTCAAACCTTGGATTCAGAACGAGCACTGCAGATTTCATCCAAGCGGACCACCTCTTCACCTGTGCAGAGTTGCTAAGGGGTCAGGACTGTTTTGAGTATCGATATTCACTTTAGCTCCACACAGTAGGACTGTCAAACCAGAGGAAGTAAGTCCCAGCTACCTAAGTTTTAATGCCAGACAGATCCCTCTGCTATAAACTTCTCACAGTCAATCAGTCATTGTGTCTCAGTTTCCAGGTCTTGACAATATTTTCACATTCCTTTCGAGTGAATCATTGTGGCTCTTTCCCAAGCTCTGGCTGTTTATCTGCAGGCTTGCAGCAACGATTTCCTTTATTTACAAAATGCAAATCCCACTGACATCTCTCAGAATGGGAAATTTGTCCCACCAGCTGATAAAATGCCATCATATGAAAGGTTACTATAATAAAATGTTACACCAGAACGACATCTTCGTTTATTTTGAACTTTATTAGGAAATTTTACACACGATTATAATATCAGCTTAAAAAGATTTTTTTTTGTTTCACAGTGTCTAATGGAGGGATTTTAAAAACATACACACAAAAAAAAGAACAAAAAAAATACTGTAGAATTTCCAAACATCTCTTACAAAATGTCCTGCAGCTCAAAAGCATTTGTTCCACAAGTTGCGACATCGTAACACGTGGGACTTGTGCTCATTTGTTTGTTCAGCTTCTGCGCCCAAAACATGTGTGTTCACTTCCTCTATGTGTGTGTGTGTGTGTGTGTGTATGTGTGTGTGTGTGTGTGTGTGTGTGTGTGTGAGTCACCCTAACTGCATGTCAGAAGAAACAACGTGTGACAGACCGAGGAGTGACTATTGGCTCATTCTTCCTGAACGGGCTGGATGAGCTTTTCCGAGAAGGTCCCCGAGTGATTTTCTAGATCCCGGTGCTGGTTCCAGCTCTCCTCCCTGATCCCCGTCACCACGCCTTCCTGCTGCGAGACACAAACAGTAAACACATGTAAGATCTTAAGGACGCGAGCCCCACCCGCTAATCAGATACTTTGTGAATGACTGTTAGAATTCACTTGCGGTGTGATTTTTCTGATCTGGCAGATAAAGAAACATCTGGATCCATATTCACAAAGTTTTTGATCTCATTAGGAAGCATAATAAATGTAACTTAGAAGGATTTTCCTCCTTTTACAGAGCTAAGCTAAGAGAAGGGAAAGCACTGACCTGTTGCTATGGATGACATCATATTTCTGAATTGCTTCACACACACATAGGCCTGCAACAACTAGTCTGTGTCAGCAAGTGTGAAATAAATCAATAAACAATACATAAGGGCATGAAAATGAACTAGATACACAGAGAAGTTAAGGATTGTAGTAAAAATTAAAACAGAAATCTCTGTGCCTTCCTAATTTTTTCTTCTGGCCTTGTTGAAGGTCAGTAATTTAACGCCAGATGTGCACAACATCATCAAAAACATCAGCAATACTTCATGTGAGTTAATTCTGGAGGATAAACGTGCACTATTTGAGCACACATGGAAAACCAGATTACATGTAGTCGACTCAAGCAGCATGACGTGCACTGCAGAGTATCAACGGTAACTGTAACCCTCCTTTTAAGACTAATAGGCTATTCATGATATCTCTGATTAAAGTGGAAATACTCATGTGAAGTAAAGCACCACCAGACTGCCGAGAGGATAACAAAGAATCATCCTACATGCAGATTTTTAAAACAATAACCCGGTGAAAAGGTTGTAAAGCAGTCGGTGGTACATAGCGCCACTCAGGACAGTCTATTTGTATTTCTTTGTGTATTTATCTGGAGCTGAATCAACACGGAAGTGGCGATACATTTGGATTGTTACAAAATGCCTGCTTCACATTTTCCAGCAGAACAAACCTGCATGTCTATGAGAAACCTCAAAAATAACATTTATGGACAATTAGCTAAAAGTGTGTTATTAAGTGTACAAAGCCATGACTGGTGTTTCTATTATTTTGTCTATGGGTAGGCTAAATATCAGTAACACCTCTCTGCACAGTTGCATAAAGTTCAACAGCCTCATTAACTGCATTCTCCAAGTGACCATAAACTTAAATCAACTCTTCTGCACAGTTAAAGTAAAAACTGAGATTTTTGCAGCTCAGTCTGCGTTTCTCAGCTTCTGTACAGAACATGGAACCTTTATGTACAATCATTTACATAATGGTTTAATAATAACTGTTGTGTGTAGAAACTGAGGTACAAGGTTGCACTGGTATGTATCTGGAGCCATGTTGGAGCTCCTTTTAGTTCTGAAATGTTTTGTGAAACACGTTGAGGGAAAAAACGTGGCAGTATTAAAGTCAGGGGTCACGCAAACTTTTTTCTTTTTTGGGTGTTTCTTCTAACTCAGCCAGTTGGGAGCTACCTTTAGCCTCAGGATGTTTGGTGAACATGCCTCCTGAGCTTAGAACATCAGAATAAGAACCTCTGCAGAACACGAGCGGACCGTTAACGCTCGTCCTAATCCTAACCACGTGTGACGGCTGTGGAACGTCCACTCGTGTTCTGCTGAGACCTCCACTTGACGTTTCCTGCTGTCAGAATCGTTTTATCTGCAGTGCAGATCTCTGTGACACATTTTTGCCAAGAGGAAAAATAAAAAAATCATCACTTGTCATGAAAAGCACATCAGCTGCAGGCTGCACATGAAGGGCCTCAACAGCGAATGCCTCCAAACTGCTGGTTTTAACGACACATCGAGGTCACAGGATGTGTGTAATCACGGGAAGTGAGATATGCTTTACAAGTACACACACACACACACACAAACCTCTAGTGTGCTGGCGAGCACCAGGATGACGTCTCCCTGTTCAAACTGCAGCAGGCCTTCGTCAGACGCTGCATGGCTCTCTAGCGCCACCCCCTGGTGTAAAGCACAGGTTGCATTAATGCAAACTTCATACTGAGCAGCTCAATTCCCTTTAAAGTCTTTGCTCTAAAGAGTGAGTTCACACAAATGTTATAAATATATTCTTACAGGTTGTGACATGATTTGTGAGATCTCTTCCAACCCAACACAGGTAAAACATTTTATTGGTGGTTGCAGATTTTTAAAAAAAATGACACTCAAACAATTCAACAAAACTTGTTTCTCTAAAGCAGATCATCTCTGATAATCAAGATTTGTTCAGAAACACGACGTGTAGAAACACTTTAGGAACTATTTCTTTATTACAAAACGTGTTTCTGAACAAATGCAGAAATGAGTATCTCAAAACTTTAACACATTAAAAATAAAGCAATCTGCATTATTTAAATAATAATGTATTTATTTATTTATTTATCTTTTTTTTTTTTGCAATTTGGCTGAATCAAACCTTATAATGTAACTCAGAGCTGTTTATTTGCTGTGGTTCAGAAACAACTCCGCTCTGTGCAAAAGCAAAGTAAAGAAAACAATGTGTGTCTCATTTTTCTACAATTTCTATTCTGAAAGCATAGTTATTTATTTATTTGAATTTTTTTATTCAACCCTTATTTAACCAGGAGAAAGCTCATTAAGATTAAAAATCTTTTTCAAAAGCGTCCTGGACAAGACGGGCAGCAGCACAACTGACAGACAGACAAGGTCACAACAGCATCCACACAGACATCACACTCATGATACATGGTGAAATACAGGAATAAAGGAAAGGGGATTTCTGAATATTCATATTGCATGAATTTTGAGTTTGATCTAACCAACTTTAACTCTAATACAATCAGATTCCAAATAAAATAATAATAATTGTGGATTAAGTGTAAAGTCTGTCCTTGAAATCTGATATCTGTCCATTAGTGTCATTGACCTATAAAATGATGATTTTCTTTAACTTTGTCTTATTACATTAAAATCTTTCATTCTTTTTATTTAGTGTATTCTATCACATTGTCAAAGATTATGTACAAATAACATCCATAGAGAAAGTAATGAATCTCTGTATACAGAGCCTTGTTATTAAGATGACTATATCAAAACAACAAACATATTAATATAGCTGTATTGTGCTGTTTTTCAGTGTAATATATACATTAATTCTAGCTAAAGTTTGCTTTTTTATTACTCTGTAGTATTTAAAATACACTTAATTGAAATCAGTAGTGTTCAAAAATCTGTTCTAGTTCAAGTCTGCAGACGTAGAAGCATCATAAAGAAAACGTCTCTCTTTGCTCAACAAAGCTGCAAAGAGAATCTGTTTAGCTTAGCATACAAAAGAAAAGCAGGGGGCTGGTTGTATGTTTCTGTTTGGGTTTAGATTAAATAAAATGACTGCTGAGGAGGCTTTGTTTGGTGAATTTTAGAACTTTTTTTTTGCTGAAAACAGTCATCTGCTGCAGCTGAGAGCAGCATTTAGGTAATAGGAGTGGTGAGTGTGAACCAAAATAATAAAGCTGTGGCCACATAGCTAAACAGTGGGATAAAAGGAGGTGCAAACTCAGCTAATAATTTTGTGCAGGTTCATCAATATACTGTTTTAATGCTGTCATTTTCAAAACATCACCTGTAGCTGCTTGAAAGCATTGTTGTGTACCTTATATAGAAAGCCTGGTGGATTGTGGGAACTGGAGTCTTCTTCTGACTCAGGATTTGAAGATGTTTCCTCCATCCCCTCTTTCTGATCAGCAAGTAAAGGTCTTTCTGTGGACCGGAAAGATCGGCGAGGGGCTGGAACCGGTGGAGGTTTGGTCTTGGCCTCCTCTGATGGTGAATCATTCACAGCATCTTGTTCAGGACTCTGTGGGGCGTTGCTATCTCCAGAATCAGACGGACTACTTGCTTCCTGACTTGCAGCCTCTGACTTCAGCACTCCCACCCCCGAGTCATCCGACTGGTTTGTAGCGAGCTCTGCTTCTTCCTCAGCTGCAGCCGCTGCTTCCTCTGGACCTCGACTTTCGCTGCTCCCGTCACTGCCCTCGTTGTCACACACCGACTGCCTCTTGGGTGTGTTGGTGCCGACGGAGCTGAGGTCAGAATCTGATGAGCTGACACTCTTAGATGCGGCACTGCTCTCTTCTGGCGGGTTGCTTTCTTCAGAGATGCTTTGAGTCCGTTGGACAGGGGACGAGGGCGCAGCGTCTTTTCCATTGGAATGGATGGAGACGTGGTCGGCGGGGAAAGCTGTGTTGCAGGGGATGGGATTGGAGATAACCAGGGACTTCCTCTTCTTTGACTTGCTTGTTGTGGCACTGGAGGAATAAAAGTACTTTCATTATCTCTGACTTAGTTTTTAGTAATACTCCAGCATATGGGACTGATTTGGCTAAAAGTCTGGGTACAATTCTAATAAAAAATAAAAACACACAAACACAATTTTCTGTGAAACAACTTGAAACCGACAGAACTAACTGGCACCCACCACTGTATATTCCACATTTAATAGAGCAGATATATTGCTTTTCATATTCAACAAACGGCTTTTCATGAGAATTTCTGCACATCTTAGCGAGTGGTTTGACTCTCCATTAGCACACAAGTTGATTTTGTGCTTCTTTTCGCTTCTTTTCAAAGAGGTTCACTTAGACCAGGGGTGCCCAATCCTGGTCCTCGAGAGCCCCTATCCAGCATGTTTTAGATGTTTCTCTCTTCCAACACACCTGAATCAAATGATCAGCTCATCATCAAGCTCTGCAGAAGTCTGATAACGATCCTGATCATGTGAATCAGGTGTGTTGGAAGAGGGAAACATCTAAAACATGCTGGATAGGGGCTCTCGAGGACCAGGATTGGGCACCCCTGACTTAGACTAAGATGAGCTCTCACAGCAGATCATAACAGAACGGCTCTACTCTTTCTGTTCATCCACTGTTTGTGGTTTTAGATGTGGTTTCATTTCCATGTTGGAGGAGCCATGACCTCTAACTGAGAGAGGCCTCTCTGATAAAATGAGTTGTTTTGCTCTAGAGGCCTCCATAATCTTCTGATTTCACTGTTCCCTCCACAGTGTCAAGGCAACCTGTGCTTGCTACAACAAAACAGCCTCATAGCACAACTTGGCCTCCTCCATGGTACACTGTTGGGAGGGGAAGTTGAAAGCTTCTTTTTTTTCCTTCAGACACTGGTCAGCTTGTGTGAGTTTTGAGTTCTCTATCATTCAAACTTCTGTACAGTTGGGATCAGCTTTCCTTCTTTTGCTCATGTCCAAAGAGGCTGGCTGCAGTTTCATTGCTTTGTATTACTTTAAATCAGACACAGGAGTTTAGAACACCATCAGTCTATTGTCAACTGTTTTAGTGAAACATTTGCCTGCAGGAATTGGGGTGCGGTTATTAAAATGGATTATCCACCAAAAACAAAAAGCAGAGCTGCTTTATTGCATGATCCAAACATTTGGCAAAACTTGACATTTTTAGCATGTAGCTTGCTTCCCAGAGGTTGTTGTTGTTTATCATGGTACTGTGGATTTTGACAAACTGGTACATAGAGGAAAGGAAGGAGAAAAGCTGCGTGAAATGTGCAGCTAATAGCAGGCTTATATGTGCAATCCACATCCAGTGGGTCAGACTACAGTTGCATGGTCCTGAAATGTTCTAATAATATGTGTAATTGTGGTCAGATGAACATCAGGCAGCAGTCTTGTTCTCTTTACCTTGATCATGCATGTCAATCTGTTCTTAGTCTTATCCATGCTCAGAGTGCTCTTTACAAAAATCACAATCGGTACTTTTCTGCTTTTAAATAGAACAAACTAATGATAAGATACTAAATGAAAACAACATTCCACTTGAGTTATCACCACAATCCATTGACTTATCACCTCTTCTAGTTGGGCTCAATCATTTCATTGACGTCTTTGTTAGAAGTTCTTAGTGGAAAAAACAAGTTCATCTCTTTCCACAACTTCTTTGTATTACTCCAGAGCAACCAAACAAAACAGCTTTGAATTGCAACACTGTACAGGAAGAATGAGGCATTGTTTAAATCAAACCTAACTGCACCGCTTTTGGCAGCGTGTGTCAATACAAGTCAAGCCATTTCTTGTTGGGAACCACAAAAATGAGGTCATGTTTGCGACATAACACTTTACCTGTTCAGACCCTTGATGATGAAATTTTTGCCCGAGTGCTGAGTCTCCAGTTTCTTCATCACATTGTACAGCTCATGATTCAGCTGTAATGCAAAGTGCAACATAAGCACACAGGCGACAGTCGATAGTATTTAAAGATGCAGTTCTAAGAATTTTTTTACACCATTAAATACATCGTGTAATCTTACCACGCTCATTTCTTTATAGAAGACGTCTCTGAGGTTGGATATGTTTTGGAAGACGGTCACGTAGCAACCTATCCGACTGCAGGGACAAAGAAAGCAGTTTGACACTCAGCTCATCCACATGACACAAGTTCAAGTTGAGTTATGTTGTCTTATGCAGACATTGTCTCCATTGTTTTTCTAACACAGGCAAAAAAAAAAGGCCTCAAAATAATAAACACTAAAACACTAAGTAGTGCAAAAACCTAGTTTTCTGGATAAATTATACATTACATTTTTGTTCGACTGAGAAATTGTGAATGTAGTTTGTTCACTACTTCGTTTTCTTTAGGATTTCATAAACTAAACACCTGACAGATTGAGAAAATAATGGATGAAAACAATTGTTAGTTGCAGCCCTACACATTCCAACAAACCTCTCACTTATTCTATGTTCCGCATAGTCCATGAGCATCTTGTTAATCTGGAATACCTACACATTTATTCATCTAGTTCCACTGAAATCCCACTAATTTATGTGCTCAACCGTACCTCTGGTAGAGAACAGGCAGCTCCTCTCTCAGCTCGTTATTTATTTCTTCAAAGACATTCTGGGATTTGTTGAACTCCTCTTCTGCCTGTTGGAGATGATTTGAAAGAACTTTAAAAGCACATATATCAGCTACTAATGCATACTTCTGTGTACTTTGATAGTTCCTACCTTAGCTATTTTGGCTTCATCCTTTTTCTTGGCACTCTGCAGAGCCTCCAGGTGATGTCGTGCTGAATCGTAGTCCACCAGTTTGCGGCCGCGCTTAGCTACTCGTTCCTGAAAGACGGGAAAAGAAAATCAGTGTGGTGGCCTTTGAGCGTCTAAAACAGACATTCAGCTTTGCAGAAACTGGTTTGAATTTGGAAGCCTTCAGGTTACCTTGACTTCAGGGAACTGGCTTGTATAGTTCTCCATGGTGCGAACTATCTGGTCACTTAGTTTCTCCTCATAGTCGTTCCAGAGCAAGTCTTCACTCTAAAAGACACAATTGCAGTCAGTGCATCTGGAAAAGGGGTTTTTGACTCCTGGAAAACATTATCCAAGCCACAAACATTGTTTCGGCCGGGGACTGTCCCACAAGGAAGTATATAAATATGAATGCTGTTTCACAATAAGAAAAGTTTCACTGACCTAAATTACATAAACTGACCAACAAAGACCCCTCATGTAAAAAAAAATACGGGTTTTTTACATAGCTTTTATATGCTGGAAGATACATCATGAGTGAAATAAGCAGTCAGCGTCATGGCTGAGCATTTCCATCTTGAAACTGCAGTGTGCTAATGACAGTCTCAAAAACACAGCTTCAGACTTCTGAGGTTTCATATGTAATAAATCTAAAGAACCAATCCTGTCCCTTGCAGGTTGGGGCTTTCTGTATCGTCACTCTTTTTCAGAATTGGCCTCAGCTTTCAACATGTTCGAATTACTCCAATATTACAACTTGCCATTGTGTAGCATTAAGTAGTTCTACATTATTTGAGCAGCTGTATATGAGCTGGTGTATGCGAGCTCTAGCAAGTGGTGGGCAGAGAGAGGCAGGGACTTCATGAATCTGCCCATTCTGAAGGCAAGCAACATGTACATCGAAGACATTACAGAGCAAGAAGGGATTATTTCCATGGAGATAAACTCTTAAAATGTAACTTTTATATAGAGAGATGACGTTTTACGGGTTAAATGTAAGTCTGGTGAGCAACTTTAGGGTCAACTTAAATCAAGATCTTAACTGTTACATTTACCATGAATGCAGGTTAATGCATACATATTTCATGACAGTTCATCATTTATCAAAGTTTGAATGTTTTACGGCGAAACATGTGAAATCACTCTAGGATATCGAGAGGGAAATCTCTAGAATGATTATTCATGATGGATGGATGGATGGATGGATGGATGGATGGATGGATGGATATATTTGAATTAAAATATTGGGATAAAAAATTAATTTGTGCAATGAGAAAAGGGTCAGTCACAGTGACAAACCCACATAGCATTACCACAAGATTCTGCCATTTTGCCATCTTTCAGCTCATTGTTTTGGTTTCACAGGCAGCGATTTTTGCTTTGGTGCCATTATTAACTGTGTTACCAGCAGCTGCAGACAGTTATTTACAGCCCAAAAGCTGATAATGATGATAAACTCCAGAAAAGCACTTGTTCAAAATTAAGCAAAAATTTGCTGCTAATCAACTTAAGAGTAATGAGCAGCAAAAGATATAGAAATGAATTATTACAGACAGACCAAAACAGAGATTGATTATCATACTTGAACATCTGTTTACTAAGATTAGCCCAGTGAACTTCATTTGTGATAATATCTCAAACACGTGTGATGGTCAGCTCTTTGTTCTGCCACCAACGGTTTAGTAACAAAGAGTAATGCAGCTTTAATATTTGTACCATATGTGTATAGTACGCCTGTTGACTAACTCCAGTCTGGAAGGTTTCCATGATGACCCCGATTTACCTTCATTAAAAATGCACAGTTGATGTGGTTGGAAATTGACCACATTTTATCAAACATGTGGCTCTCACAATGTGGTTAAAGCACATATTTGCAAAAAACTTAACACAATCATACTTCTGTAATAACAGCGAGGTCCTCCACTCCGTTCCAATCCGGTTCGTAAATTTCTCGCAACGTCTGGGAGAGCCTCTTGGAAGTCTCGTGCATGGCTGTGGAACAGGAAGAGGAAAGCGGAGGAGGACGAAAAAAGAAAATCTTAAAATGTAATCAAGACTCCATAAGGATCAATTCATCATCGAGCTTCTGCAGGCGCACACAGCACTGTGGTTGGTATTGTTTTTAGGGTTTGCGGCGCTGCTGCTACACCCACAACGAAAAAGGTCAGAACAACACCGGCTTCCTGATTGGAGCTCACAATGCAGGAGCAATAAGCTGACAACAACAGAAACACAATGGTTACTTGCTCATGAACCACATAAGCAGTGCTGCGTCTGCTGTTTTTCCACTGGAGGATTTTTATTTGTTCTCGTACAACCTGGCAACGCAGACAGAATTGCAAAAGTTGACACAGGGTCCAAGAATAGAAGAAATTCACTTCCCTAATTTTCTCCAGCTCTCCTGAACAAACAGCAGCGTTGTGTCAGTGCTGTGTGCCTGAATATGTTGTATATCTTCTCAATACCAACCTTTCACCGCTGCATAGTAGGCTCTGACGTCTTTAAACAACCTGCCTCCGTCGAGCTGAAGCAGAAGCAAAGAAGAAGTTTAGTTAAACTCCGTGTCACTCGGTAACAGTATCTGCAGCTGTGATCTTGTGCGTTATCATTTCCTTAACAACATAAAATGATTACATCAGTGTGCTTCTGTTGGACTGCAGGCTGCTCATATCTGCAGCGTAACTTTTTCTGGATCTATCCGCGTATGATCATAACACCTAACCGTCTGGCCACAAAGTTGAGTTAAAATTCAACACGAATCACAACATTTGATGTGGCGACGGCAGCGAAGTGAAAGCAAGCGTGTCTTGTCAGTGCATAGACTTCCTTCCTGTTGCAGCTTCTCTCTAACGTGTTGTTGAGTTTGAACGCTGAATGAGCTTTGAGTGAGTTAAAAGTGGGCTTAAAACGTTTGCCCAACAGAGGCGGCGGTGGCCACTTTGCTAAGAGATAATAATGACTGTTGAAACTTAGTGGAGCACAAGTAGAAATAAATCGTTGAACGGTTGCGCAGTTTCCTTTTGTGCAGCAACATCTAGCGCCTATCACTAGTGTGACCTGATGGCGGGGTGACTGGGGTGCATCCCACGTGGTGCATAAGACTTCAAACAGCGAGCATGATTCCCAGCCAGCCCGGACCCTTACAGCATGTCATTGCTGTCCATGTTTCTAAGGCTAAAATACAAAAAAAAAAGCCATCCTTTAAAATTTGCTGACATCAGCACATGAGTTAACGGTCACACCAGAACACGTAGTGCTGCAGCAGCAAAACTCCTGAGAGTAGTACAATTACTATTTTTCTGATTTCATTTACTAGATTAGATTCAACTTTATTGGCACTACATAGAGTTTAAGTAGTTTAGAATCTAAAAGCATGGTATCTACAGCATGAGACAGTATTAACCGAATGAGGAGTATGAACCTTCAAGTATTTCAGTCTCTTAAATGTGAGCAGGCCCTGTCTCACGTCTGAGGCAATGTGGGGTAATGCTGTTTCACAGGTCTCTAGGGGAGACATAATAAGCACTGCTTAAGCAGAATAGATAAGAAAATAACAGAGAGTCGCATCTCGTTCAAAGTATTTCCTGTTTTCAAGGCCAAGTCGATTGTCTCAACTTGTGTGGGTCGGCATCTCGATGCAACAACAGAAAACAAATCATCGTGGGCTTTCTTTCTCTCGTTTTCTGACTTAGCAGTAATTAGCAGGAGATTTTTGGTTAAGGGAGGATAAAGCGAGCTTTGTAATTATAAAAAAAGTGGATTAGAGGAAAGTTTTAAATTGACTTTAAGAGTCCCGCTGGGGGAGAGCAGAGGAGTGTGATTGTCTAGGGAGACCTTCCCATGTTTAAGCGGTTTCACGCTGCATTACCTGTTGTTTGTTTAGGTTCTGGAAACAGAGCTCAAACTGTTCGTCCTTGGTTTCCATGGTTTTGCCCAGTTTCTGAAGGACCTGGGAGAACAGAGTCAGAGTGAGTAAGTTTCATCAGTAGAGTGGCACAACAAAGTCTGCTTACAGGTGTTTGAGTCATCACATAGTTCCTCACAGGGAGCTATGTGACATTGGATAAGTGTTTCCTAAAAGTCAAATAACAAGTAATCTCACAACATAGTCAGACCATTCTGTAGCACTGACTGTGTAGAACGGTCTGGTTGCACCTTACTATCATTCTGCTATAGCAGGGGTAGAAAGCTCTGGCTGTTTCTCTTTCTTTAAACCAATCACAATTATGCTGGTTGGGGCTACGGACAGGATGCACCAATGGCGTTCTCTCAAAATAGTCGCAGGGGGAAATGTTTTGGTGGAACATTTGCACTGGAGGAGGCGAACACTGTCATTAAAACAGACAATTCATTGGGGAAAAGCAAGCACACAACTTTTTAGGTTGCTATTTTAAGGTTTATGTTGTTTCAGATTAGTCAATTACTAACAAGAAACTGCATTACAGAGAAGCGAAACTAGATTTGAGTTAATATAGAAACAGATTTGATATTTAGATACACAGTTGGTAGAGCAATGATCAGTTTGTATTTTAACTGTAAAATGTCCCACTCACTGTGTATCTTGGTCACACTTTAAAAAGAGGAAAAATCTACAGAAAAATATTGAATCAGATGATTTAACATCTCTTAGTATCGGTCAGGCAATAATATTGGATTTTTCAGACTGACACAGATAGACATACTGTAAAGATTTGGGACCACAATATGTACTGATCATCACATTTTACAGAGGAAATAAATAACCTGTCACCTCTCCTATAATATAATACTGCCCCAGCTGATTTACAACAACAGATAACTCTCTAGCTTTTATATTGCTGTGTCTCACCAACACCATGCACTATAATGGTATAAATCCGATGCATGCAGATGTTTGAAAACCTGAACGACACATTACATGGTCTTTAATTTAAAATTTCCTCATCATCCCATTTTCCACAGTTAAAAATAAATCTCAGAATCCCCCCAAAATAACCCTGCGAGTCTTCAGACTACATGCGAACTCCCGTAGCTGCTGTTTTTAGGTGGAGCAGTGAAAATCAAACAAGTCAACCACAAACTCAGTGAGACAGGCAAGCGAGGGGAAGTGCAGAGTCAGGAAGTGGCAGGTTTTTGTGTGTCCGCACACAGCTGCACACACCGCCGAACAACATTGTGTCGCTCAGACAGGGAAAGTCCGAGCTACTGCTCTAGTAGTGCATCAGGTTAACGGCCAAAAGGGGCAAATCCTTCACAGTGTAGACAGGTGAAAACACATGATGTGGTGGTTTACAGTCTAGTGCATTAAGGAGAGTGCAGAGAGGCAGCTGTGGCTCTTCATCATGAGCTCTGTGGGCCTGATTTCATGCCCTTACAACTACATGTAAACTAAGATAACGGTGCAGGTTCTACTGGGAAGGCAACAGTGGCTGTAAAAGGCATGATTCATGAGCAATTCAGACATTTTTTGATTTTCAAAACTCAACTTTTCAGTCACTTTCATGCTTCTTCTGAACCCCACAGCTTGTTAGCCAGTGTTTTAAGGTATCATTCATGTCTTGTTTTATCCCCAGAGACTGCCGAGAGTCATTCTAAGGAAAAGTCTGGGTCCCTAATGATTCTAAACCACCAAACAAGCGTGAATAAATCTGTCTCATGGGTTAGAAACCTCATGACAGCCATTGTAGGCGCAGCTGAGAAGTGAAATAGACCCAATGGGACTTCAAAAAAAAAAACTTTTTTGTGGCTCACCTTCTCCTGAGCTCGATTCAAAGACTTCTGGACCCTTTTGGCTAAGAATCCGGCTCCAGCCTGGAGGTTCGGGCCCATCTTGTTCTCTGCCATCGTCAGCTGTGTGTGTGTGTGTGTGTGTGAGCGCAGTCCGCCCCGTCTGCTTCCTCAGCGGCTCCGCTCAGCAGTTCAAGGCGGTGAAGGCGGAGCAACCAGCGGCAGCGTCAAGACGCGCACAGAGGCAGGAGCACCGGAGGGAGGAGAGGGAGGGAGGCTTCACTCCATCGGCCTGTTCCAACTTGTTGAAGGAATTACGCGGAACAGTTTCGGAGCAGACATCGTCGTACACGCTGTTGAGTAACTTCCCTCCTCCTCCTCCTCCTCCCACCTGCAGCCCGCTGAAGGTGGAAGTCATCCAGACTCACCTGAAAACTATGAGCGTAAATGACGTCGCTCCGATGACGCGGCCCTGAATCAGCAGCGTGACGTCGACAGGTGGGGTCGCAGCAGCGGAGGAGGATGAAGATGATGATGATGATGATGATGATGATGAGAATCAAATTAAGAATTATAAATTGATGTTAAAATTGATTGTGAAAGTGTCATAACTTACTTTGATCACAAAAATAAAGAAATAGAATTCATAATTGATTTAATAATTCTAATTGGCAGATTTCAAATTCACAAATTGGCAAGTATAAAACCAAATGTAGTTAAATCATCTATTGACTTTGAAGAACATATTATAACAGATATCACAGACTGCCACTTAAATACCACAGACAGCCTTGGGGTGTGACTGAATGAAATTAAAGTGCCACAGAGTGCCACTGAGGTGTGATCAACTACCAGTTAAGTGCTATCAAGTTCCACTGAGGTGCCACAGACTGCCATAGAGGTGCCTCTACTAAGGCCACTATTAGGATCCCAACCTTACTGAGCAGTGCTTCCTGCAGGGACAGAACCAAAGGGTGGCCTGAGGTGGAGGCCCAAAAGCAGGATTTTTTTGTGAAGTAAATCTTTAAAACCACAACTCATTACTTACGGTATTAAACTTAGTAAAATATTGTTTGGGTTAAATAAATCCTTTAAACTGTCATTACTTAGACAGAAAGCACCATTTGGAGGAATTAACTATGAAACTAAAAGGCATAGTGGTATAGTAT